TCCTCGAAGCGAAATTCGACTTTTTATAGTCATTTTTGAAGAAGAAAAAGAACTTACTGCGCAAATGCAAAATGTATAACACCATACAGGTTTCATAAGGCAGATTAGTAAAATTAATTTTGAAATTCTATCTTGAAATATAGCCCCATTTCCCTCTTTATCTCTCGAATTTAATCTATAATTTTTTCAAAGTGCATAAAACTACTTTTAAAATCGAAACTCTTAAAAATAATTAATATTCCAAAAAGTAGTTTTCATGATGCAAACTTTAAAAATTAATTTTCTATGTTCCGAATAAAGTTAAAACTAAGCCATAATACTCTCTTTCTCTCTCGATATTTGTCTGTAAGTTTTTGAAATAGTAAAAGCTCAAATGTATGAACTAATTTCAAATATTAATCCTCGTAGAAACTTTATATATCTTAAAATTAAAAAAAGTAAGTTACGCTGAGCGAATTTGCAAACATAATTTCTGAAGTTTCTCTTGCAACGTCATACATTCATAAATCACGTTTTCCTAATTTTACTTCTAATTCTTAAAAAGAAGTTTCACATCAAATGCAAAATGTATGGTACTATTTTTATGATTAAAACTCATTACAAGAAATTTCCTAAAAATATACATTATTGCATTATACAATTAGCGAAATTAAGTTAAAGTGTTTCATTATAAATTTAGCTATGAAAAGCAACAAATTGAATCAATTTCAACATTTGCCTTTTTTTTCTTTTTAAATTTACACCTTGAAATAAAATATCAATGGTATCACTTTAAATATTGACACTTATGAAGATTATTTCTTAAAAATATAGATTTCTTTCTGGAAATTTTAGATATTTATTATTTACATCCTTTTATATGTACTAGAAGGCACCACATCCTGCACCTTCTTGCAATTGCTTCCTTTTCATCATTGTTTTTTCCCCCTTTAAACATCGATATTCTTTCCAAAAACACAGAATATTTTTTTTAGCTGTATGTAAGAATATTTTGTTTGCACGTTAATCATGACAAAATGGACGATAACCTGGATTTTAATAATAAATATCTTAACCTGAAGGAAAAAAAGGTTAACCTTACGAACACAGAACGTGTGACTCAGTGCGATGAAATAGATGAATAAATGAGAATACTTTTACTCGTTGACAATAAACTAAGAACATTTCAAATAGGGAACAGTTCTTATCGATCATTATTAAGATATTTTTATTTTTAAATTTTTGACTATAAATGTTCTCTTTTTCTCACTCTTCTCTCTCTCTCTTTTTCTGCTTTTGATTGATATCTACTCAAGCGTGATTTTATAAAAAAAGAAATTATGATCTGGTGAGGAAAAATTAAATTTTCTACCGCAATGGATAAGCAGTCAATATTTTAAGTAAAAAGCTGAAAAAAAATCACGAAAATGAATTTAAAATTGCAGTAACTTTCAAACAAATTGGTTTTATGAAACAAAATTTGAGTTAAGTTTGCAGTTAAAAATGACACTATCAGCACGACAAATTTGCATTTCACTTTTCTGTGTTAATTTCATTTTTCATTGCATTTCACTTTTCAGCGGGATACAGATTGACTATGGACAATACCATGCATGCACGCATGGTATTTCTTTTCTCCAATTTTAACAGTTAATAATTCTCGAACTAATTGTAGAATCTTAATTTGGTTTATTTTGGTGTACTCCACGTACTTTTTTCTACATACCTACGTAATTTCAAGTTTTTAAGTCCCATAGATTTTGTGAAGCAGAGCGAAATGGAACGTAAAGGGGAAAAAAAAGAAAAAGAGAGAGTGGGAGAAAATTTGTAAAAAAAGCACTAGATTGCAAAAACTTTAAAGCAAATTCTTATTTTGAAGAAGAAAAAAATTCGTGTTAAATTCATGAATGAATATGGCCCTTTTTTGCATTGGCAATTGAAACAGGCTACAGGTAGCGTACAGCAGGAATTTCTACCTAAGGCAACACTTCACATGCTTTCACCATTAGCATGTTGAAGATCATAGGAAAAGGAAGTACGTTAGATTCTGTCTTGATTTTCAAATACATTAAAAACTTAATTAGGAAACTATATGGAACTGAAAGCTAGATTGAACATAGTTCCAAAAGAAAGCATCTTGAAAATTGAAGAAAAAAATCAAATTGACGGTTAACTATGAAAAATATTAAGAAAGAGGAAAATATCGCAGTACATTCCCATACAACTGAGAAGAGGAGGAGAGGGAAAGAGGGAGGGTCAAGCAGGCAGGGGCGTATATATGGGGGGTGCCGAGGGGGCCAGGGCCCCTCCCGAAATCCGAAGGAAAAAAATTATATATATACACGTATAGTTAGTTGATATTCGGATGGCTTTGCTAGCAAATAGTTTCCGAAAAAAAGTATAGATGGCGCTAAGAGTATCGTAAATCTAAAATGAAGGCGTACAATAAAGGCGTGGCCTATTTTGAAGACCCAATCGAGATTTTGAATAGGTTCCTTTTCGAAGATTTTAGACTGTTCCAGAAATCAAAGCTTCTCGAATTCATGCGCTCTAACTCAATCTATATAAGCGGGAAACATTTGTTGTTAAGTCAATTGCATTCATAATGAAGAGACAAGCTTCTATTATAAATTTTTTTGCAAAAAAACAGATTGTAAATAAGTCTATTAGCGACAGTACTGAAGTTGGCTGTGCTACTAAGAATGTTTCTTCTGGTTTCGAAGGTATTGGTACGGTTGATCCACATCCAGCCCCACTTACAGAGGACTTCAACCAGGTAAAAAGAAATATCTATGATATTGGAAACTATTGTCAAAACGATTCCGTTCGTTCGTTAACAAATGAAGAAAAAATTTCGCTTGTAGAAAATGTTTGGAAACCACAACCTGCATACAAATTTCCTTC